CACCCCCCCTCTCTGCCTGCTGCCTGTGGATCAGGATGTAAAACTCTCAGCCACTGGTACCACACCATGCTTACCTGCTTCCTGCCATGATGATAATGCATTAACCCTCTAAAACTGTAAATAAGCCCCCATTTAAATGCTTTTTTTTTTTAAGAGTTGCCTTGGTCATGGTGTTTTTTCACAACACTGACTAAGGCAGGGAACAGGATTAAAGAAAAGCAAAGAGTAATATTGTATTACATGGATTCTGAAGCAAACACATAAACATGTGATTCTAAATAGTTCTTACTTCTGTGCTATTGTTTTGTCAGTACAATTAAAGCCTTTGAACATGAAGATCTAAAAATAAACTGTTTTTTAATAAAATTGTTAGCCTCAAGAACAAGAGCTCAAACCTCCAAATAAAAATACTAACATTATTAGAATAAGACTTAAAATATTTACAGATTTTATTTCACCTCAAAGGTGAAATAAACATTGTCAACTATATAACTGTCTTCTACATTTGTGAGACAGTCATAGACTTATTAAAGTGCTAATTCTGTTGCTCAGATGATGAGCTTCAGGCCTGGGACCACAGTACCAGAACCAGTAGTGCTGAAGCAGTTAGAACTGCCCATTGTCTTTTTTCACACCACAAAGGAGGTGGTACTTTATTATGGTTGTGAGAGACAGCAGCCTTTGTTCCTTCTCCAATTCAAATTATGCCTCCACTAGACTTCCTTTCTAGTTCTCCCCACATGTAAGAGGACTCAGAAAACCACACATGAATCCAACATTCTGAAAGAAAACTCAAAGTCACATTTTTTTTTCAATACATGAATGAGGGAGCACATTAGTAGGAGCAGGTGGAGTTACTACGTTCAAAAGATGAGCTCCTACAAGGGTCTTTTTTTTTTTTTAAAAGACATTTATTAGTTATTTATTGACATGTGGTGTTCTGATGCACATGTGACAATCAGAGCACATCTGCTGGTGTCAGGTCTCTCCTGTGGATCTGTCCGTCTCTACAGAAAGCACCTTTACATCTTGATCCACCTCACCTCCCCTTTGAGTTTTGGTTTGCTCAAATTTCCAGCATGGTCCGACTTCTTAGGGAAGACAGACTAGTCTCCTGCTCTTCTCCTTCAGTGTATATAACAGTTAACAAAGTAGATGTGGTTGTATTAAAGCTGTGGTTTGACCCTTTTGTTTGTTTGTCTAACAAGAGACTGTAACAGAATAAATATATTCACAATACACTATGTACATCTACAACATGGTCAAAAGTTAAATAAGAAGTAATTTCTAAAAAGAGAGAGAAGAACGTGTTTCCCTTCTTGCTTTTCTTTCTGCCATGTGAGAATACTCCTTACTCTCACTGACATAACAGAAATGTCGGGACTGAAGCTGACAATGTCTGATCCTGGGCACTTCAGTCTCCAGAACGGAGTCATGATTATTTACGGAGTTTTGTTTGAGAGTATTTTTTGGTTTTAGATGAAGTCTCACTCTGTAGCTCAGGCTGGCCTGAAACTGTGTGACTCACGCTAGCTTCAAATTTGCAGCAATTCTGTCTGGGCCTCTTGGGTGCTGTGAGTACAGGTGTGAGCCACCATTCTCCACTTGTATGTTGGTTTCACTACTCAGTCGATGGTATTTTTATTATGAGAGTCTGAATAAGACAACTGGAGTCCACTAACTAATCTGCTCTCCCTTCTAACATTCTAAGTCACATGTCTAAACATGCTAGATTAGATGGAGTTGGTAGGGAAAGAGAAAGCTCACTTGAGCTGTAAGCCTAAACTTCCTACATAGGTTATATAATAGCTCTGTACTGACATGCTAGAAGTACACACAGCTATTACTAAGGGGGTATTCTGATTCCTAGGAGCTACTGTTGTTCTGTGCAGATAGGTCCTTTGTGGCTGCTGAGGGTTAAAAGAGCAAACTAGATCAGAGTTCGGGCATTTCTGGTTCTAACAACAAAATGACACCAAACCACAACATGAGCCTAAACCCTGAAGGAGTTAACTCCTTCCCCCAAAAACAACACCTTATGAGAACTCTTCACAAATTAAAACAAAACAGCAGTCTGAGCTTATCAGCTGTTCAGAGCTGGCATCTATCCTGGTGTCCATATGAGGTAAGCAGTTAAATATTAGTAATGCTGGATTAAAATAATATTTTGGA